GGGCGCGTTGGGGGGCAGGCCGGGCCTACTTGGGCGGGGCAGGCAGGATGGTCTGGTAGTTGTAGTGCTGCTGCTGCTGCTGATTGAGGATCTGGAGCTGCAGGAAGAGCTGCTGCTGCTGCAGGATCCTGGCATAGGAGGAGTCCATAGGGGGCGCCCCCTTGTCCTGCTTCTGGTCGGGGGGGATGTACTGGTGATACTTGAGCTTCTTCACCTTCGGCTTCAGCTCCTTGGCCTTCTTGCTGCGCTGCGACTTCTCACTGGCAGACTTGGGTTGGCTTTGCTGTGGGCACGGGAGACAGAGGGCGCTGTCAGGGGCAGCCGAGTGGCTTCCGGAAGGGCCCCGCCACCCACCCTGCCCTGTCCATGCTCCCTGCCGGATGGCACCCCTCCCAAAGCAGAGGTCTCCTCAGTGCCCGGGAGTGTCCAGGGAGGGGGCGAGGGCTGATGGGAGGCGGGGCTTGTGACTGGCTCTGCTCTTAAAAGAGCTTCTAGCCCCAGTGCACAGGCCAGGCAGCCTCCCTGTGACCCTGAGCACAGAGTGAACAGGACGACGAGGTGAAAAGAGCTGTTCTACGGAGCTTGCGCAGCACACGCTGGGCGCTTTACAAAAGCCGCGTCACACAGACCTGCAAATACCCTACCTCCCCAGGAACCGGCCCGTCGACTCGAAAGGGAAGAAAAGAGGCTCAGGGAAGCCACGCGCTCGAGGCCGCACAGTGACTGGGACCTCGCTGCGCGAAGGAGCTGGGATCCGAACCCTGAACTCCAGAAGCTCACGTCCATTCACTGACGGGGCGGCCGGCACACAGGGAGGCCGTCTCCCGGGTGAGGAGGGTGGAGGGGGTGTGGGCAAGAGTGAGCAGGGCGCTGAGTGCTGGGGAAGGAGCGAGGAGGGCCTCGCGGCTTCTGAGCAGAGAATGGCAGGCGGAAGGGTGGAGACTCAATACGGGGCGCAGCTGGGGTCTGACCAGGGTGCCGTGGGCACTGACGGGATGTGGAAGGAGGTGACCGACTAGAGGGAGAAGGGACAACAGCGCGTGTGGCAGCCGAGCGGCTACAAGGTCACGGTTTTGAGCTTCAGCAACAGCGTGTGACAACGGTGGCCCCTTCGCAGAAGTCGGGAAGAGGTGCCGGTTGGCCAGGGTAGGGAGAGTCGGGGAGAAGGCACGGGGCTGCTGGGACCGGAGAGCACCCGAGAGGAGGGAGAGGGGTCCGCTGAGAGGCCCCGGCAAGGCTGAGGGCGCAAGAGGCCGAGGGCAGCCCGGGAGCGCCCCACTGAAAGGGAAGAAGACGGGGAGCCCAGGAAAAGGCACCCGAGAGAGGAGCGCGACCTGAGGCAGGTCCGAGGCAGCTGGGGGCTCAGCCTGGAGGAGAGCCCGTGGCGGGGCTGGGGAGCGGGGACAGAGGCCGAGGCACCAGCGGGAAAGAGGAAGTTAGATAAACACACACACACTGTTCTCGCAAACGGGGAGTGGGCAAAGGAAGGCACCAGTCGTGTGACGAGGAGCAGGTCTGAGGGAGGAATTTGGGGGGGAAACCTCAGACATCTGCAGCCAATCAGGAATAGACCGCAGAGGCAAGGGAGGTGCCGGCTGCTGGGGGAGCGGCCGGGAGCCAGCAGGGCGCCAGGGCACCACTGACCGGGAGGAGCAGGCCTGGGGCAGGGGCGCCACACGGGAGGGCCGCGGAGACCCCGCCAACCACCTGGGAGCGCCCGGAGGCACAGGGAGGCTTCGCTAAGGCTGTGAGCCGCAGCAGAGGAACGTGGGCGGCCAGAGGCTCCAGGCCAGGGCCAGGGCCTGTGTGGTGGGACTGGAGGATCAGTCAAGATGGGAAGCAAGCCGAGCGGGAAGGAAGGGCACCTGTCCAGCAGGCATGGAGCACAGGCTGGAGGGCGGCAGTCAGGGCCAAGGTCCCAGAGGCCGAGGGAGAAAGCTCGGCTGGGCGGAGAGGACCGGACACCGGCTCCCGGTGCTGCTGAACTTAACCTCACCGTCCAGCACCGTGTTCCCACACAAAGGTCCCCATGGGTGTCTCGTGGGGCTGATGGTAAATGCCGTCCCTTCAGGTATCTTAGGTCAGGCCTTGGAAGAAGAGAGTGACAACAAACACCCGGCACGGCTGGCTGGGTGACCTCAGGCCCATCACCTCACTTCTCGGTTCTGTCATAGCCTCACGAGGCTCCGAGTGGACAGAGGGGACGTGTGGGCGTGCCTTCCTGGGGCGGGCAGGAGTGAGAGCCTGGCCCGCTGTGCTCAGTGAGCGGTGGCTGCGGCTGTGGCGGCCAGCGTGCGTGGAGGGAACAGGAGATCTCCCAGAGCACGGTGGTGACCTCGGCTGGCCCCAGACCAGGAGGAGAAGTGAGTCAGCCCCACTCCCCACACTGGGACGGAGTCACGGTAGGACTCTGAGGGGAACGGAGAGGAGACGGTGGTCAGCTAGAGGTCTGCACCTTAATGAGCGTGGGGAGGGGCTTGGCGGTGGCGACCGTGGTTCCGTTGGCGAGGCTGGGCGGCGGAGGAGGCTGCTCCGCCAGGAAGACTGTTTCTCCAGACTCTGGGCCCACGGGGAGTTGAGACACGACCTGGGAGAGAAGAGGGGAAGTGAGGACACGCCCACCCCTTCTCGTGGCCCTGGAAGCTGCGCCATCTCCAGGCTTCAGCCGGTGGTGCATCCCTGCCCTGCCCTGCCCGGAGGTGGGTGGCTGTCACCCCTTCGGACGCCATCACCGTTAGGGGGCAAATGACGGGCAAAGACGAGAGGGATGAAAAGAGCAGCCTCCAGGGTGGCAAGGGGAGAGGGAACTAGAAAAGGGGAAGACTGAGGGTGGTGAAATGTCACGGAACTGAACACACTCAGGAGAAGTGGCTGTTCTGAATGAGCAGACATGGGGCAGCAGGGAGGCCTCTGAATCTAACTGCAAGGCTGCCCAGCCGGCGTCCTCCACGAGGGCCCACCGCCGCACTTTCTGGCTTCCCCGTCCCACCTGGCCCAAGCAAGGGACCTCATCCTGGGCCGCTCCAGTAGGTCTGGGGCCCCTGAGCAGGGGAAGCACCTGCAGTGGACAAGCTCACCTGAGTGAGGGACACAGAGGTGGCACTGGGCAGTGGCTCGCTGACTCGGGCTTCCAGGGGTGACGGTACTGAGCCCTGGGACTCATGGCTGGCAGGCTGCTCAGGAGATAAGGCATCGCTGCTGTCCTCATCAAAGGAAGAGCTGTCTGCTACTTTCGGGTAGTTCACCTGGCCCACTGAAAGCCAAGGCCAGGGTGAGACTCCTCCAGCAAACGGGAAGAGGCTGTCCCAGCGAGGCGCCTGCCCTGCGGCCCCACGGCCCCAGCAAGCAGCGGGAGGAGGAGGCCAGCAGCCCACCTGCCTCCTGTTTCCAAAAGAGCTCAAGGAAAGCTTGTCATCACGACCCGAAACAAAGGCCAGGAAGAGTCAGTCCCACCAGGTCATCAGAGCACTCCCCTTGGTGGGGAAAGGCCTGATCGTTAACCCCTTGCTTTTAACTCCGCCCTGCGTTCAGTCTTCCAAGTTAGGGTCTGCCCTCCCACCCCACAGCCTGCCACCTCCTCCAGCTCCTGCTTCCCTGCTGCTGAAGGCACTTTATTCCCATCCTGTGGCTGCACAAAACTCCTCCCAGAGGCTCACGGACCCTGCGATCAGGGACGGAAGGAGTTTGGGTAACAGCTACGCAGGTGCAGCTCCTCCCCTGGGCTGCCCGACTCCCCGAAGACCAGGAGGAATAGACAAAAGAGCCTCGCGGAGAAGGGCCGCCTGCTTGCACAGGTGAAGCAGATCACTGGAAGGACAGCAGCCAGTGACTCCCAGAGACCCACGTCCTGGGGGCCAGACCTGCGCTCCTGGGCAGGGAGCAGGCTGGGTGGGAGATGCGAGAGAAGCAGGGGCCCGGCGTGGGAATCTCAGATGCAGAGAGAAGGAAAGAAGGGGATGGGGCAGGCAGGGTACTTCAAAAGACTCCTGTCACAACCCTGCCGCCAGCACGGTCAGGGGAGTTCTGCACCGGCACTGTCCACACAGGGGGAATGAGGCAGCGGCGCAGAGGTGAGCCGGCGGCCATGCCGGGGACGCAGCTGCTGCGGGAAGACCACAGATGAGGAACACTCTCCCGGCAGACCCTCCCCCGCTCCAGGGCCGTGCCCCGAGGCCCTCTGCCCCTGGGACCCAGCAGGACGCCCCTGAGCTTGTCCCCCACCCCGCTCCCGCCCTCCCAGGGGCCCGCAAGGAGCGCGGAGGGGATGCAGCTCACTGACAGTGGGCCCTTCTTGCCGGTCACGCTAGGTCTAGGTGCCCTCCCACAGTCTCCTGTTCCCAGAGAGGGGACCTGCCATGGCACAGCAGCCACAGGACAATGGGACTCAGGACGGAGGAGCTGCGGGTCCACCCCTGCCTCAGCCCAGCGTGAGGAAGCTGCTGGCCACGCTGCAGCGGCCCCAGGGCTGTCAGGCCAGGTCACTGCAGGGCCACCCCTCTCTCCTGCAGCCAGGGCAGCCCCGATGGGGCCCTGCCCGGCTGGAGTTCACGGGCCAGGCACCCTGGAGCCCAGCCGCTGCTCTGCTGGCGGGAAACGTGCATGCTGAGGCGAGGCCGGCCATGACTCCGACGACCAGCTGGCGGCGCATGTGTGAGCAGATGGCCGCGGGTGTGTGGTGCAGTCTGGGAGACGGAGGCCATCTGCGAAGCCCCTCCTATCCTGGCGCACACTCCGCTCTGCCTCCCCCTCCATCCCCCACCTCCTCAGCCTCTCCCCTGACTCCTTCCTCTCAGCCCTAAACCTCCTCCTTGACCACTATGTCCCTCTCTCCTCTCCACTCTCTTCCTGCACAGACGGACCACGTGTGCTGTCACCACTGCCTTGCCTGCTGCTCACTCCTTGGCCTGCACGCTCACTGCTGGCGAATGCTCCTTTCTCCCCAATCACCGGTGATGACCTCGTTCCAAACTAAGCTACTCACGGGCCTCAAACAAGCCGCATTCCGCCAGGGCTCCAGGCCACACTGCCCCCGCTGTCCCCTCTGCCCGGAATGTCCCTCTGTATCCTCTCTACTTGGCAAACTGACTCGATCTCCAGGTGGGCCCGAAACGTGTCGTAAGCCCCACCGCCATCCACGTCCCTGAGAGAAGCCCATCTCAGACAGGCTCTCGCTGCCCCTGCCACACACCGCTGTCCTACACTGTCCACGACAGAGCCGCCAGCTGGTCTGTAACGAACGTCACTGCAAACAGCAGCAGCCCTTCCCCGAGTCTCCCTGGGCGCCCAGGACTGTGCCGGGCCCTTCACAGCCATCGTCACCTGGGAGCCTGCAAACTGTCCCGCATGGCAGGTGGCTTGGCTACGACGTTACAGGGCCCAGTCTTTCTAACTATGTGGTGCCACACGTGCCTGGGAGCTAGACGCAGAAATCACTTGTGCACACGGCAGCCTTCTCCCGTCAGACTGAGTTCTCTGAGGGCAGCCGCAGCATATTCTGTTCGTCTCTGTAACGGCAGGACTCACACAGGCCTGGTGCGTGGCTGACTCTTAGCAAACATTTACCAGACTTGGGCTGGCTGGAGAGTCCAGAACTGACCTTGGCCCAAACGCTGTCGTGGAATCTGGTGAAGGTCTGGGCAGGAAAACACTGACACAAGGTGAAGTGAATGCCAGGGCAAAGCAGGGGGTTAAAGGGGAAGAGGGCGGTCAGGGCGCCTCCTCTGCGGGTGCAGACGAGGCCCCAGAAACCGGTCACCTCTGAGCCAGGGCTCGGGCCCAACGTGGCCTGCTTCGGGCCTACTCCTGTGCCCTCCCCTGCCCAAAGACCTAGCTCACTCCTACGGTGAGAGCACCTGAGCCTCATGAAGGCACGGCCACTCCCCGGGGGCAGGTCTCAGGCCTGCGGCAGCCAAAGAAACATGTCTATACCAACAGTTACCAAAGTCTGAGGGAATCATGTCTGCACACCTGCCCGTGGCACGCGAGGCCCTGCGCGTCCTGGACTCTGTGGCCTCCCCCTCACGTCTCGACACCCGCCTCCAGCTCCATGTGCAGAGGCTGCTCCTTCTGTCCGCTGCATTCACTTTAATTCCTACTCACCCTGCACCCCCATCTGGGCCTCAGCTCTTCTGACGCCGATGCCCCGTGTCGGGGCCGGGGTGGGTGGCCCTCTATCTCACTCTCACCTATTTCCTTGCCTGTATCTGCTCCTGGGCTTGAGCTCCGTAAGGACGAGGGGCTTGGTCTGCCTTGTGGGGCTGTGGCCCTAGCACCTAGCACACTGCTTGGATCAATCGACCTTTACTGACTGAACTATCTGAGGAGAGTGCCAGGCTCCAAGAAGAGATTTCACTAATGAAAAGAAACCGCAGGCACAGTTTCAAGGTCCCAGCGTCTCCACGTGCTCACACACACCACCCCGAACATCTACCTACCTTCCCTGGGAAAGAGGGACAAGCCCCTGCGCTCACAGAGATGGGAAGTGGACAGAGGCCTCTCTGTCACTGACGCAGTTATTTTGGCACGGCGCTGATCTGTGAGGCCACTGGCGCTGTCCCAGGCTCATAGGACCTGTTTATCAGGCTCTCATACTCTGTACCTCGGCTCCCCCAAGGCTAAGCAGGAAGTCAGGGAGCAAGCGGTCCGGAGCCCATCCCCTCTGCGCCCCGCCTTCAAGTCCACACGTGGTGGCCGGGCCTCCTCACCAATGATGGCTTCCTTCAGGCTAGACTCCACAGGCAGGATATTCTTCTCCACCAGCTCCATGGGGCCAGGCCTCTGCGCAATCTTCTCGTTGAGGTCATCGGCCAGCCTGGCTCTTTTCAGCTTCAGCTGCTTGGCCTGCAGGGAAGGCTCAGCCGAGGTCTCTGCCCGTGGGAGAGAATGGAGTGCAGGAGGATATAGGAATGAGCTGGTTCTGCCCTGGGAACTCCAGAGCAGCTCCCCTTCCCTCTGGGGAAGGAGCAGAGACCATGAGAATGCAAATCAAGTCCCAGGCAGAGTACAGTGGCCCGGCTTGAAGTTTCACAAGGATAGAAGAAGGGGCCCCCACTGTGGACAGTGTGTGGTCACGTGCAACAATGGCCACTAGGCACCGGCTGGCCCAGACGACTCTCTAAGCTGGAGCTAGAGCTGAAAGAGCACCAGGCAATGGGTGGTGTCTCCTCTCCCTCAAGCTCGCTGCATTATGGGGACAATTCACCTCCCTGCTCTGGGCCTCAGTGTCTTCCTCTGCAAAGTGTGAGGTTCAGTCTAGGAAAGTCTTCTTCCAACCCCAAAGTGGTTTCAAAACCAAACAAAAAATGAACAGACTCAAGCCAAAACCTTTCCTTCCCTAGAATGAGGAAAGAAGTTTGTGTGGGCGGGTGGAGCACGTCTGGGATGATCGTGCTTGTGCTTCACAGGTGCTCCTGTAAATACTGAGTGAGCGAATGAATGGACGGATGGATAGATGAAGGAATGAATGAAAACAGAAAGTAAACACATTTAAGAACAGAGTTGGAGGAAAGGATTTCATACCGAGGTTTTATGAGATCCAGGGCCACCACATGGCCATAGAAAAAGGGAAGCCACCCCAAGAGAAGGTGACTGTGCTCCTTTGGGAATTCCCAAAAACCAGGGGTGGTGCCCACAGCACTGCTGTTTTACTGCATTAAGGCTCTGGCTTACACTGTCAACAGAAATGGGAGTGATGAAAAAGAGGGAAGACGAAACGTGGGTGGTGCAGGGGTGAAAACAGTGAGAATGAGGGTTTAGAGGAAGAAGCATTTCCAATCTAACACACCTTCCAAAATGTGCATCCTGACCAGCTCCGATCTCTCTGGCCGGGAACGAATCTTCCGCTTCAGGTAGTCCTCTGTCTATAGAAAAAACACACCAAGCAGCTCTCAGATCCAGGTCACAAGCTTATGGCATGAGCAGGACCAAAAAGCAGCCGTGCCTTTAGTGGGTCACCTCTGCAGCCCCCACAACCTCAGCCTGGAGACTGCAGGATCCTGAGGCCTGGAAGGACGCGTCCACTTTCAGCGCACCTGCCAAGGGCATCATCCATCTGTCAAGACCGTTTGTCACTCTGAGGCTGGACTACTAATATATTTTTTAATCTATTACTTTTAAAAAAAAAATCAATTTATTTATTTCATTTTTGTCTGCACGGGGTCTTTGTTGCTGCACGCCCTCTTTCTCTAGTTGCGGCGAGCAGGGGCTACTCTTCTTTGTGGTGCGCAGGCTTTTCATTGCAGTGGCTTCTCTTGTTGTGGAGCACGGGCTCTAGGTGCGTGGGCTTCAGTAGTTGTGGCACGTGGGCTCAGTAGTTGTGGTGCACGGGCTTAGTAGCTCCACAGCATGTGGGATCTTCCTGGACCAGGGCTCGAACCCGTGTCTCCTGCACTGGCAGGTGGATTCGTAACCACTGCGCCACCAGGGAAGTCCTAATCTATTACTTTTACTATCATATGTTACGTTCATCAAAGAAAATTCAGAAAATTAGAAAGTAAAACAACAATAAAAATTTTTAATCATCCACCGTTAGTATTTGGGGATATTTGTTTCTAATCATTCTTCCATGCAAAAGATAAGTTTAATTTTACAAAGCTATAATCATACTGAATATAATTTTATACCTTATTTCAAAAAACTTGGCATTGCCTGATACCATGAGCATTTTCCATTCACTCTGAATGGCTGCCAAGTAGAGTACTAATTTTGATACATGGTGTCATAGCTCTAGTTCCTTAAAGTCTCATGTCCTCATTTCTGCACTTCTGAGACGCCAAGCAAATTAAACCATTCCCTCAACAGTCCCAGAGCCAGCCCACTGCCCGGCGCTCACATTATAATGTATATATGACCCCGGGTTTGTCTGACTCTAGAGTCTGTGCTCTTAACCTTTGCACCAGAATTTTACAAACCATAGGTCAAGACCATTAGTGGGTCAGGACCAGCACAGGATAGGGTAGGATAGGACAAGACAGGACAGCACAAGACAGAGCAGAGTAGGGTAGAGTAGAATTGAATAGAAAACAAAGAGAGCATACTGCATGCCTGCAGCAAGGTAAAGACTTGCTCCTTGGACTGGCCTTGGTGCTCTGACTGGTCAGCTCTGTGCCCACCCCCGGGTGGTGCTGAGCTCTCCAGGAGATGGCTTACAGTGGCTGCGGGTTCAGGGCCTATCACCCATCTGCAGTGGGCAGAAGTACTGCCATGACTGCCGGAGAAGACGGCAGAACAGGTGTCGCACACTGCAGGTCTCCACAGACAGCAGAGGGAGGCATATGGTACTGATGAAGAAAACACCTGGAGTCCACACACCAAGGTTTAAATCCCAGTGAGCTTGCCACTTACTAGCTGGACAAGTTAGTTAACCTCTCTTAACTGCATCTATTAAGATAAAGATAACACCTAATTCATAAGAGCTGATGTGAACATAAATAAGAAAAGGGTATAATTTCACATATAAAAGTACTCAATAAACTAGTAGCTGTACTAATTAGTTCGTATTTACTCCGTGCCTTGGAGAAGCAGGCCAGGAAATGGTGCCAAGTCTTAAGACTGGGTTGAGGGCACAGGCAATGACATTCCTTTTCTCCCTGCTGTATTCTCTCATCCTCCCAGCCACTGAAACAGTGCAGCTGGTCACTCCTTTGGTTCCCAGGACCTGTGGCCTCATTCTTCCCACTCACTCTAAGCATTAATCATAATTTTCCTTAGAAATTTGTTAAAAATAAAATAAAGACAGAAGACAGTAAGATAAGTCTTGGAGGTAAATATTTCAGTCTCTGAAAGAGCTGTGGGTCTTAGGGAGCCCCGGCCTATGATCCTCCATCTGGGGAGGCTCTCTTCCCTTGTCTTTTACATAAAAGAGAAAAGTGAAGGGGCTGAGAGGGGGAAACATGTTCTGGTGACTTCCCCATTTCCGCCCACACTGGGCAGCAGAATATCCCCTGAGGCCCCCGAGGGAACTGAAACCGAGGGGGACAGGGCAACAAGCCAGGTGCTGCAGTGTGAACCTGAGCTCAGAGGGACCCATCTTCTGCTTCCACGACCTCAAGTGGACCCTGGCTGCTCAGGGGCACACGGAGACCAGTAAGGTTTCCATGCCCATTCTGGAGAGGTGTGGGCAGTGGGCAGGAGGGACCACCACTCAGCAAGCTTTTCCGTGGCTGGTGGTCGTGTCCTAACAGCTACAAAAGGCTAAGTGGAATTAAAGATGGGAAAATACTAGTGGTCTCCAAACCAAAAGAAGGGAGGTGACCATTACATACCCTTGAATGTACTAAAGGAAGAAACTCATTCTGATCATGGCCCATACCATCACACTGGGAGACGCTGGGGTGGGGATGAAGCAGAAAAGCCAGAGCTTTCTATTTAGAACCATAAGGCCAGGGCTGACCCTGGAGGCAACGCTAGACTGGCAGGAAGATGACAGCAGCACAACAGGCTCTGAAAATGCTCTTAGGAATCCTTGGGAAGCAAGGTGCCTTACCCTGGCCCGCTCCAAGCTCCTTCTCTGCTCATGAAATGCAGCTGGACTTTTCAAAGCTGTTGGGAGAAGAATCATAAAAGAATTACTTTATAGTGAAGCATCATGTCTACTGCTACAATTTACAGTGGAGAAGGTATCTTAAATTCAAGTTCGTTTTAGCAGTACTACTAATATTAGCTGAAGTGACGAAGAAAACGGCACTTGAGTAAGCACATACCTCTCTGGTTCAGCTACCCCATCACAACAATTCTGGTTACTTTGTTCCTAATGGGAACAGTCACTGCCTAAGCTTGGGTTCTGTAAGGTGCACCCAGGGAATATAACTTTAATATAATCCTTATGCAGCAGTCAACTCTCCACAAAGGGCCTCCCTTTACTCTCGGGGAGACCGGGACACAGAGCAGAGCTGCAAGTTGGGCCCACCCACTTTCCCTCTCCAACCTCATCAGGAATCGCAAAGTGACCGAACTGTTTGAATGAGGCTAAACCAAAAAGACACTGCGTCTACTTGGGTGCCATTTCCTTCTTCGGTTCAGCTGGTATTAATGGTGCTGCTAAAATTAACTTGAATTTCATCTTGAAGGACTAAAAGAACTTCACCATGACTGTATGGTTAACCTTGGTGCACACAACCAGCAGCTGACCAGAAGGCTCACTGTATCCCCCGTCACGGACCCGACTCTTTTCTGGGGCTACCGCCACATGGCCACAGCTCGCAACTCAGCAAAGCACACCGAGGGTGGGGAGACCAAAGCAGGACCCTCTACAAATGTAGCGCTGTGAAGAGAGTCTGTGTCAAAAACTCAGCAGATAATGAGTTGGGACACCCTGAGGATGAGAGGGGAAAAAGCCTGACTCACTTCAAGTTGGGAACAACAGCAGTAAGAGAGAAATTCGTAAGACCGTGGTCAGTTTCACTTCTGCTGCCCTAGAATTTCAGAGCAGCTGTGAAACTGTGTGTGCAGATAACTGTTGCTGGGCTGCTGGCTGTGGTAGGGAGTGCAGGGGTAAAGAGACGCTAAAAGTAGCCAGAGCACAGATATGACCCTATCCTGCCTGGGCCTTTGTGCTCCCCGCCATCCCCCCCCAGGGGCTGGGCCTCAGGAGCAGCAAGTCCCCGAAGAAAAGCTCCGAATGTCACTGCAGCACTTCTTTGTTTCTCTAAGTTTTTTTTTTTTTCCCTAATATTAAAGTAAAAAAGAAACTCATATCAGTTGGAAGTACCCTATCTTCTAACGGCAGGGGGAGCGCTAGATTTAACAAATAATCTCTAAGGAAAACCAGCACAGGCTCCCTCTCCAAGCTACCAGAGCATTCCAAAGCATGACCCAGGCCATCCCAGCTCTAATCTGAAGGTCTTGGCATCTCAGGGGGTAAGCAGACAGCCCCTGCACCTGCTTCTAGTGAGTAAAGCTGGTTCAACTCCAAAATCAGCCTCTAAAAGTCCTGATATGCAGGGTGTGATGGACCAGCAGGGAATGAACACACAACCTTGCTCTAGGAGCGCTTATCACACGGGTGAGACGAGAAGCACTAAAAATTAAAGCAAAACTCAGTGTCCGCCCCCCCCCCCCCCCGCAGCTGCCTTTCTGCCTTGGTTTTCTCCACAGCTCATCACCGCCTGACACCCTGGATGGTCATACTGCATCCCTCTGTATTCACTGCCAGCCTCCTACCACTACAATAAGCTCCTCTGGGCACGGCAGGGGGTTTGTCTACTTTCTGACAGTACCCCCGCCACGGAGAGCACATAAGTCATTCAATGAATTAATGAATATTCTATAAGGAACGGATACAAAGTGTACACTGGTGACAGGAAAACTAGAGGATTCTGTGAGCTCTAAACTTTCATTTGTACAGCCACAATTAGGCTCTCATCTCGGTTCAAAACTTCACAGAAGTCCCAGATATAAAAGCAAGACATGTGCATGCCTATCCTGGGTTCTATCAGTTACCGCTGGTGTGACACGGGGAATGACTGCTTTCCAGGTCTCATTTTCTTCTTCTGTAGAGTCAAGTCCACCCACCTCCCAGAACTCTTGTGACAACCGAAGAAGAGTGAAAGGGCTCTGCAGCCAGTGGCGCCCTCACCAACACATTTAGGGTGCTGCTGTCATCACGTGCAGTGATTTGGTTGAATCAGGGGTTAGATTCCCACACGGGCCAGCTAGTTCCTACACCACGGTCACAGATAATCTGGCTAAACACCAGTCAGCGTGCAATGACCTACACTGGCTATCCTAAGGGGTAAGGCACAGGTCCAGCTTCTGGGAAAACAACTCACAAAGCACAGAATTTCTTGATGGAAGGGGAGTGCAACATTTTCATGTACAACGAGGATGTTGCGCCATGAGTGGGGATAAGTGACAGGTAAACTGGCTGTACTGTACGTGACTTCCTGCTTTCCATCGAGTTAAGGAAATTTTTGCATAATAGTGAGGATGCCTACCTTCTGTGGTGGGCATGGTTCTAAATACTTTAAAATGTTACCTAATTGAGTACTCCTAATGACTCCATGTGATGTGTAATATTCCACTGTACAGATGAGGACAGGCTCAGAATGGGTAGGAAAGGCAGCAAGTGGCAGAATAGGATCATAACCTAATTCTCTCTCACCCTCAAGTCAGAGTTCTTTCCCTCCTCTGGGTTGGTTCCTTAACTTCTTCAAAAAGTGGAGAAGAATGACCCCAGTGGATGGGAGGCAAGGAGGCCTCAATGACCTGCAATGCTTAGATGTAGGGCTGAGGGCAGGCCATGTGGAAAGGCCAGCTCGACCACAGTACTGAGCACAAACGTGTAAGGAAGGCTCAGAAGAGAGGTGCAAAGTGACTGCAGATACACAAAGCCACGGTTTCAAACCTGGGGCTCACCGTGGAGCTTAAGGTGCAGCCTTCAGCACTGATACTAAGGAGACGAGCCTGGAGGTGGATGAGAAGACCAGAGCAGTTCACTAGCTGCTCAGAGCTTGGGCAAAAGAACCAGAAATGAAGCCCAAGAAAAAAATTCAAAACAATAATTACTGACCCCAAAAGACTGTTTCATTTTATAACAACATTATAATCTCGTTGAATCCTCTTAACAACCATGAGGTAGGCACCACTATTCCAATTCTATACGTGAGGAAACTAACACTGCAGTAACCTGTGAGGTCACTCACTGAGTGGCGGACCCCAACCCGGGTCCAGCTCTGTCTTTCTCCCTTTGTGACAAGTGTGTAGGCTTCTATCAGCCCTTGAAGAGCCCACGCACTTTGTGCTGCTCTCTCTCCACATCTAATTCTGCTCTGTGACAGCAAGTTCAGCGATTTCAAGAGCCACTTCCAACATGTGAAAGGAAGAGGGAGCAATAACCAGTCTTGTACGGGCTTCAGTCAGGACTCCTGGAAGGCGCTTCCCAGGACCATCTGGGGAAGCCTGGAGCTGGGGCAGCCAATGCTCTCGGTAGGTCAGGGTTTGGGGTGGAAAGGGCATTCCTATACGTGTCTGGCCAGCTCTGTTAAAAGCTGCAGCCGGGCTTCCCTGGTGGCGCAGTGGTTGAGAGTCCGCCTGCCGATGCAGGGGACACGGGTTCGTGCCCCGGTCCGGGAGGATCCCACATGCCGTGGAGCGGCTGGGCCCGTGAGCCATGGCTGCTGAGCCTGCGCGTCCGGAGCCTGTGCTCCGCAGCGGGAGAGGCCACAACAGTGAGAGGCCCGCGTACCGCAAAAAGAAAAAAAAAAAAAGCTGCAGCCGTGGAGGGTAACCAGTGAAGAGATTAGGGGTGATAAAGGTAAGCCCTGGGCTTTCTTGATGTAGAAGCAGGTGGCAGTGTATAGTCAAAATCACAAGCTTCCACGCTAAGGGAATGAGACACAAGGAAGTACAGCAACACAGAAAATAATTTAAAAGTTTAGGCCTCTACTAGCTGTGGAAAATCCCCAAAGGCTCGAAGCTAACCCATAAACATGTGTCTGAGTAGGAGGGCGGCATTCACCTTGGACGCTCACGCCCTCTCTCGCTGCCTTAATGCTTTGCCAGAGGAGCCAGGGCACTGCTCACTCGGAAATTTTATTTTCCCAGAAACTCCTAGAAGGCAGTCTCTGAAAGAGAAGCCCCGCCAAACCAATGCAGACCCAAGAACTGTGCATGTTGTTTATGAGAATACACATTTTTGGTGTCAGAAGGCACCAAAACTTGATCGTCTACTCCCACCCTCCGGGAGCTGGTTTCCTGGAACACTTGCACGGCTTTGCGTGAACACAGGGGGGTGTGCAAACAGGCGCTCAAAGGAAAAATAACCAAGCCCCCTCCCCCATGGAAATCAAATGAACACAAGTGGCTAAGAGGTGTGGTGCTCTTAGTCACAGTTTCGGTGCTAGATGTGGACCCCGCCCCTGGCTGCCTCTAACCCCCGATTTAATACTCTGTTCCCTCTCTCCAGTGCCCATCTTCTTTCTCCCCTTACACATTTGCTATCTTAATTAAGTGAGGTCATTTGTGAACTAAAAAGAGAAAAACTGTTTCAATTTCCTTTTTCAAAACGCACTGCCATCCACTTCCAGGGAGAGTTCAGTGCTGTGCTGGGTGTGATCTGATCAGACAGAGCGCTGTGATCTGATCTAGCACCGAAGCGCGAACCAACCTTAAAAACCAACCTAGCGGGGCTTCCCTGGTGGCACAGTGGTTAAGAATCCGCCTGCCAAGGCAGGGGACACGGGTTCGAATCCTGGTCCGGAAAGATCCCACATGCTGCGGAGCGGCTGGGCCCGTGAGCCACAATTACTGAGCCTGCGATCTAGAGCCCGTGCTCCACAATAAGAGAAGCCCGCACACCACAATGAAGAGCAGCCCCCGCTCGCCACAACTAGAGAAAGCCTGCGCACAGCAACAAAGACTCAAGGCAGCCAATAAATAAATAAATAAATAAATAAAAGAGAGTAACTTAAAAAAAAACCAACCTAGCACATGAATGTAGGCGCTTTCCCATCACCAGCCCCAAATTTAGTTCAACATGTAGGCAAGTGAAAGCCTCCTAGGAGCCACAAAGCAGTTCTGGAAACGCATCTCAGCAAGAAGGA